CTCTGATACCTTCAATACATAGGCTTTATTTTAACATTCTAAGCCAAATTGATCCATGTAAATAATACAACTTCAGTAATCAGTAGCTATCTTAGTACATTCTCAACTCAACTAGTTAAAAGAAAAATATTTCCTTTCAAATGAGGTAGACATTTAGACAAAATCACCGGACTTGAATAAAGAAACAAAATGATCGTTGACAATGGCCGTTTCCAAACTCGCAAGTGACAAAATCTATAAACAGTAAATGGACACTAAAAGCAGAAGCAAGACGAGACATAATCAAACAATACGCTAAAGTAGAACCCGTCAAAACTGAGTAAGGATCAAAGATATTGACCTGACAACATCGGACCACTAATTCCCATGTAAAGGCATCTATGACGCATTTCCATTGGATAATACATTCCAACGGGACCTTAACCAATCGTAGCATTGTAGAAACCATCATGAATCGTGACGTTGGAACATCAGAAGAGAGGAAAAGTACACGATTTGAGTATTACGACCCACTAGGTCTAAGAGAGCCCGTCTTCATGCTTTTAGGATCCATGGAAACAGAAGAACCCCTAATTTCCGCGTATCCATCTTCGTTTGACCCATTGAATCTGGAAAACAATGGAATTTCTTGGATCCTGAAGCAAAATCAAGATCAGCAGACGAAGCCCTAAAATTGTCCAAATCCTTAACTGAATAATAGAGACGAAACGCAAGTTTGATAATCGGTTTAGTACATAACCGGTTTTGGAAAATAGCTTCGCATAGGGGTTTATACAGTACCGGTTTAGTAAATAACCGGTTTTGGCTATACACAAACCAAGTCCTCTGTTTTCATTACAGCACACAAGATACTAAATAAGCATCAAATTCAGCTGAAGAAAACAATTTCGTCATCAACGAGGTTCTAAATCTGTAATCGACGCATCATTGATAGAACAAGAAACCGGCTTTCCAAGCAAATTTGAACCCTCGGCTTCTGAATCTCCGTCGCGGCTACTATGCAAGAAGAATCCAGGTGAACGAGGCACTTTGTTGATTCAAGAGATCGACAATGAATTTATAATGGAAGGAGGTTCGGAGATTCTCGATAAATAAGTCATAGCTCGGCGTTTGCTTTGTAAA